GCTCAATAATTTAAGTGAGCGATATTTTTTTRAAGCTCCTGTATTTCAGTGATCTGAGGCTTTATTTTCTTCGAAAGAGGTCAAGGTAACCCTTGTCAGCTTTATGAGAGAAGATCTTATTTCAGAGTTCTATACGAGAGCTGGCTCTAAGTAAGAGTTTATAGTGCTGCAAAGTGGATCCGAGGAAGGTTGGCTCTTAATTGAAAGCTCGAGTTTATCAGACTAACAAAGTGATGGCTACACAATTTTACAATAGCAGTGCTGTAGCATTATATAAAATTTACGATCACTAAATCAGTGGTAGGATGGAGGGTGATCGTCGCCGCAAGGATTTTATAGAATTCACTTTTGAATATTTACTCCATCTTTTAGACAGAAAGAAAGGGAAAGGACGAGGGAGAAAGTAGAAAAGAGTTATACATAGAGAGATAAAGATAAATAATTGGAGAGAGAGTAACATTCTCTTTTCCTTCATATTTTCAACGGTTTTGCTGATTCCAAGTATATCCATTAGTCCGCATTATGGATAAAACCATAAACTAAAAAGGAGTAAATAGTTATAGTATAATTCACACGAAAAAAACATATACACAGATACAAAGTTTCGGCCATTTTTAATATTATTTCCATTCACTTGGAAACGATTCTTTTACATATGGCTCAAGCAGCCCACGACTTCAGGTCTTAGACCAAGTAGCTCGGTAGCCAAAAATTCACCGTTTGAAGGCGCGCTAAATAGAGAAGGCGAATCATCACTCCCAGGATGGTGCGCTGTGGTTGCAACCTGCCACGTACGTTCATCTAATTTGATAGTTTGGTATGGTTTTTCGGGGAAGCAGCAGTCCGTACTTTTTTCGAAATGAAGCTGGTGRCCTTATTATGAGAAAAGATTGGAGATTCGATTATTTYAAGAAATTGTAAGAAATTAAATGGCCTCCAGAAGTTGTGGTTTAACACTATTAGACTGCTTCTTGTGGGGTTATTTGATCTTAGGAAATAAACCAGACTTTCTTCAAGCTTTAGAAGCCAGTATTGAACCTGCTTAGTTATGACATAGGACTTGATTTAGAGGAAAAAGGACTCGAWAATTGCGCTCATCGATTTCGTTCCTGCAAAATAAGTCAAGGAAGCCATTTGAATGATGTTATATTCAGAACTTAATTGTATCGATTGTACTTTATAATAAATAAAAACAAACTATTTGTTTTTTTTTTTTTTTTTAATTTCACACCATTCCTATTGGTGAACCCTGTACATATATATGCATGTACATAGTTTACGGCGCTCCAGTAATTCCAAGAACATGTAACTGCATCCATATGTTAAGCAGCGTACTGCATGTAAAGGTAGTTCATGCGTAAATTAATCCTCAATATATTTTGCTTATCAACTCTTACGGCTTTGCCTGTCGTCAGGAGCCGCCTTGAATCACAAGCACAATCTTCAATGTAAGCGTAATTAAGTGGTATGAATTATTTCTTATTAGCGCGTGTATTATAATTAATTGTTGATTATAGAGGCAGAGCAAATAAGCAAATAGATTTCAGTACTCCCCTCCACACACACTCACACACATATATACGTGCGGCGCATAGGAGTTCAAGGGTAAAGAAATGTGAGCCGCATTGAAGCGCAGTAATAGCTTGGAGATGAAGAAGAGATTACTCTTATCGGCAGTATTTAATCAAATGTGTTGCTTAATTTACTAATACCCACGTACATGAAGAATTAATTATAGAGAACCGTGCAAAAATTAGTACCACGGTAAAGCTTAACGTGGGAGAGGAGATTTTTAGTGAGCGAAGGAAACCGGAAACTTTTAAATCAGAAAATATATACTTATATACATCAACTTCTGGAAGCGAATTCAACATTTAACACAATCAAAATGAGCATTGACGAAGGCCTGATTCGAGTTTGGGATACCAGTTTCCCAAAAACTAGCTGAGTGCCATTTGTAATGGATATTCCAGCGGGTAAATAAGAATATTGCCGCATTTCTGGATATGTGGAATAAGATTAAAGTAAAAAAAATATTTGAGTATTCGATTTTCTTGTGCTTTCGGATAGATTTCTCTTTTGGGACGACCAAAATGCCAAATCCTTTAAGGCGAATATAAAATAATTGTATGAAATCATTCCTTTCATATGCGTCGCGCTTTTACTGCCTTACATTCCCCGTATCTCGAATATGACTTACAATCGCTTTCAATGTTATCACCTCAGATGGTATTAGACCTTCCATTATTATAGAATTGGAGGACGGAGCCAGGAGTAGAAGTTCACGCAAGTGCGAAACGTTGTCTGAGCGCCATACACTTGGGAGTGGCCAGAAACGATTATTGTAACGATATGGCTAAAGCAGTTTACGAATTCCGATCTTAGACCAAGTATCCTTTGGGTAGCCAAAAAACATCCAAAATAGCATGGGATGAAGAATAATGCGATTTTCGTATGTCTGCAATGTCCATAAACCACAGAGACTGCATCAACTGCGAAGCCAGATTTACGAAATCGGAACCGAATCGAATTTTTATTCTGCCAAGATATGTTAACTTAGTAATGTTTAAAAAATATTTTTTAAAGAGATCCAAAAGATGGCATAGAAAATAAGAAGTCCTTGTTCATCACTGAAGTCAGCATTCGAAGTTTATGAGTCTCTTCAACGTCAGAGCTGAACTCCGCGGTAATAGCCGCAAAAGTCGTTCTAAATTCCAAGTCAAATCTATTTTTTTAACCTTTTTCAGCTTTCATCTAAATTTACGGAGAAATGTTTACTAGTTTTTTACCTCCTGAGGGGTGCTGTTGTCAAAGCAGAAGGAAAAGTCCGAGACTTTAAAAAGTACTAGCGTGACGAGCTGAATTGATTTTTATGTGTGCGTCTGTCTGTCCGTTCGACTGCGTATTTCCGAACCAGTCCCTAAATTTTTCAAATATCGATCTGAGTTTTTGTTCCCGTCCTTTTTTCCCCTTTTCCCTTTAAGAAAGTGATCATTTTCCAGTTTCGCTGATATCGGATCGCTATAGCATATAACCAGTACTTCAAGATAGCACTATTCTGACAGATGACGTGTGAGTCGTGTAAAGTCGGAAAGATCTTTGCCTGAACAACGTTTACAATTTAACTTTATTATGAAAATTGACATTTTGTGCAGAATTTATTTCGGGCGCTTCGCTCAACTTATGTTCAACATAATGGGCTACTGAGCGTACTATTCGCAACTCCATCACTTATCTTAAGAGGCAGCATTCATTATTGGATAATATTCGATCGAATAGACCACGTTCAGCACGCAGTGATGAAAATATAGCGGCCGTAGCTGAGAGTGCACACGAAGACCGTCGAAAGTTGAATTGGCCTTGACGACTTGGCGCATTTTACGTCAAGATCTTAAATTGAAAGCGTACACAATACATCCTATGCAAGAACTGAAGCCGCTCGACCGCCTAGCGACATGGTTTCGATCTATGGGCTCTTGAAGAGTTCCAAGAACTTTCGATGTTTTTGATTTAAATAATGTTCAGCTTCAATAGGTATATAAATAATCAAAATTGCCGCATTTGGGACGAAGAACAATCCACATTCAAGAGCTGTTGATTTATCAAGGAAAAAAAGCAGACTTGGTGTAGTTTGTGGGTCGGTAGAATTATCGGTCCATATTTCTTCGAAGATGATGTCGGTGAGAATATAATCGTCAGTGCTGACCATTATCGCGCCATGATAACCGACTATTTGGTGCCTGAAATTGAAGCTGGTTATCCCGTTGGCATTTGGTTCCAACAAGACGGCACAACTTCCCACACATCGCACCAACCAATGGGTTTATTGAGAGATCACTTCGGTGAGCAGATAATTTATGTTTTGTGTGATTTCACATCGTTAGACTTTTTCAAGGGATCTGTTAAGACTAAAGCCTATGCGGACAATCTCGCTTGGTTCAGGCCTTGGAGCAAAGCATCATGCGTGGCATTCGCCAATTACCAGTCGAAATGCTCGAACGAGTTATCGAAACTTGAACTAAACAGGTGGACTATCTGAGACATAGCCGCGGCCAACTTTTGAAAGAGATAATCTTCAAAAAGTAAGAGCCAAGGAATGTCCTTTYGACTGATAATAAATATTCTCCATTAAATTAAAATTAAAATTCTGTGTGTGTGTTTTTTTTAGAAGGATTGATTAATTTGTTTTAGACAATGAGTTAGTTTTATAGGCAGTTACCAACGCTAGAAAACGTTTATATTGGTAATTTGGAATACATGCTCGATTATGGTCTTCCTCCTGGCTCAATGTACAAGACGTTCACATTGTCTGACGAGTTACGAAGATTGCATTTTATTTGCATAAATATCTATAGGATTGGATAAATATTCAGAGCACAATTTCTGYTAATTTTCTAAATCAAAATAAGCTATATATATCTATCCTTATATCACTTTAATATATTAGGTTGTCAAAAAAAACCTTGCGGTATTTTCGCTAGTTGGCGCTAAGAGCGCGTAATTCTAGTTTTATTCGTCGCATCGGGTCATGCTATACCTTTTTGGAAAGCGMATTTCACGCGCTAACAAGTGTTTGATTGATTTTCGTTTCTTTTAAGTCGTTCGTGAGTTATAGCGTCGCAAACATGGAGCAAAATAAAGAGAAAACACGGCATATTTTACAGTACTACTACGATAAAGGCAAAAATGCATCTCARGCCACCAATAAAATTTGTGCAAGTTATGGACCCTATACAGTTTCCATTTCCACCGCACAGAGATGGTTTCAACGTTTCCGTTCTGGTGTAGAGGTGGTCGAAGATGCGCCACGCTCCGGAAGGCCTGTCGTCGAAAATTGCGATAAAATCGCTGAATTGGTCGAAAGAGACCGGCATAGTAGCAGCCGTAGCATCAAGAGCTGATCATGAGTCATCAAAAAAAATTTTATGAACCATTGAAAATTCAATAAAAAAAATACCGCAAGACTTTTTTGACAGCCTATTACATAGGCARACACTTACCTTCTCTGGCTTTTAAGTAGACCGTATTGGCCACAATATTCTCTAATTCCATTAGTTCCAGGTTGGCGGTTTTTTATTGTATCCTTTGGCCGGCTGGAAAAAAGATCTCTACACTGTCGGATATTTAGCGGCGGCTTGCACGTGTCGCGCCGCCTCAAGCACTGACTGKKYGTTGAAGTTAATTGTCCGGCACTTGTTCGGCCTCAAACTATGGCTGCTGTGTCTTTTAATGCTGTGAACACGTGCTTGTACGTGTATGTGTGTTTCTTGACTGTGTAATAAAAGCGTGGCAATATTATTTGCTCGCACCGAATTATTTCGTTTGCCGCTTGGCAACGCCGTGACTTTTATGTTTTGTATAAAATGTTTATTGCGACGCTGCGCACCAGTTATTGGTCGTTTGACGCCTCAAGTAATGGCGCGTGATTACATAACACCTTTACGCATAGATGCGGCACGAATACATATACATAACTACGAAGTATATAAGCACACGCACACAATGCTTGTGCAGCGTAATGGTAAATATGTGCTCARCGCTGTCAGAAAGCCAACTAACGGTGCTCATAGATTGTCTGCCTGTCCGGCGGAGCAAATTGCCAAACGTTTCTGCCGGCTGTCGTCTGCAGCACTGGTGTTTCCGTTTCCGGTTGTTGTGCGTATGTACCGGTTCGTTTGCCGAGCGTGCTTAGCGTGCTTTGGAGTTTGATCAAAAATCTCTGTTGCTAGGCGTCTTGGGCGTSTTCCACACYAAGCCTCACACACACACAAGCGGACTTCCTGTCGCTCACTGACCACGCGGCGTAAACACGCACTTCCCGCTTCGCTTTCACGCTACGCAATTAATGCGAAAAGCGCTCTAACGCCGTTGTTGTTGCTTTTGCTATATTATTTATTGTAATTGGTGCTAGGTCGCYTCGCTCTGGCTCTGGCCGCATTTGTGTGTGTCCGTGTCCAGCGGAAAGTGCCGTTTCAATGGCTCGATATGTTTGCTTTAATATTATTGTTGTTGTTGCTGTAACGATTGGCGTCATTTAGTTTCCTTGCGAGTGCCAACTACAGCAACATGCCAACACAGAAGTAGGCTAGGCGATGTTGTTTGTGCTGTTGTAGGGTTTCTAGTGAGATTTTGTGCGCTTCTCTCTGCGTCTTGCTCAACTTTCAATATTTCTAATAATGTTTTGTGATTTTTTTGGGGGTTTTTTGTGCAAAAGTTATTAACTGAAGCCTCATTTGCCTAGTAACTTCACTCACTTTAGCGGATAGATATGGGTGGCAATTCTTGAAGGTGGAGATAAYGATGCGCTGCCAAGTAAGAAAAATAAACCAAAATTAGAATTTTTTTACAAAAAGTTTAACTGTAATATTATTATTATATGAAACAGTTATTTGATTCAAAAACTGCTAGTTGCCTACAAATAATATTAGACTGTGCTGTTTGACCACCTTATTTGCAGAAATGTTAATTTTCACTTATTATAAACAAAATGATCCCAGCATACAACGGCTTTTCGAATATGTATAATATGATTTCTAAATGTTACATAATATTTAAGTGCCAATGAGACAAAGAAACGTTCGAAGTAATGAAAATATTGYTGCCGTTCAGGCAAGTGTTGCTGAAGACCGCAATTTGTCCACAACCTGGCGGATCTTGAGGAAGCATTTAGGCTTGCATCCATATAAAATTATTCTCACTCACAAACTGAAGCCATTGGACCACGTCGTGAACTTACTGAATTTACCTTGGAAAAACGATAACGACTTTTTAAGTAAATCATCTTTTCCGATGAGGCCTACTTTCATAAGAGTGCGTCGGTAAAGAAAAAACTGTCTACTTTAGCGCGAAGAAAATCTACAAATTGTTCATGATCAGCAATTACATTCCCCTAAATTGACAGTTTGGTGTTCTTTTTTGGTCTGGTGGAGTCATCGGTCCGTACTACTTTCAAAATGATACTAAGGACACCGTTAATGTCAATGAAGAGCAGTATAGATCGATGATAACCAAATTTTTATGGCCGCAATCGGAAGAAGTTGCTATTGACAACATCTGGTTTCAACAAAACRAGGCTACGCACCACATAGCACGTGCAACAATCGATTTATTGCGAGAAWYGATWGGAGATTCGATTGTTTCAAGAAGTCGTAACATTGAATAGCCTTCAAGAWGTTGTTATTTAACCCCGTTAGACAACTTCTTGTCGGGTTATTTTGAGTCATTGGGCTGTAGCGATAAASCAGACTCTCTTCGAGCGCAATATTCAGTACTGAACGTGATTGGCGTGACAGACGACTTGATTTASTGTTAAAAGTACTCGAAAATTGGGTTCTTCAAATTCGTTCCGATAAGAAAAGTCGAGGAGGCCATTTTGGTGATCTTATAGTCACAACTTAATTGTATCGTTGCACTGTGCATAACGAAAGCTTTATAAACAACGCCAACGGCGGCTCTTAAACTTGTAACCTATCGATCTCATCGTTCAAAACTGCGCAGCAAAATCGGCTGGACGACTACCGCCTGCAGAAAAATTGACATATAGAACATTCGGGCATAGTACGGCGGGTAATGGTGGTTTGGCTAGCACTGACTACATGATCCCACTTTTCAACTGGAAAAGAAGGTTCATTTAAACGTAGAAGAGTTGAAAACGTCATCAATAGAAACATGGTTAACAGAATCAAAACCAGMTKGAACGAGCTACCTGGGTGCAAAACTGCAAAACTCATTGCAAAGAGGTAGATCAGAAGTACACAAAATTCCTTTTGGCACTAAATTCGCGTCAAGCGCAGGCATCCTAACAATGGCTACTCCTCATGGACGTAGTTACTGMACTCCGAGTATCGCAAAGGACTAAAACTGGCTCAATGGCCTACCAGATACCTAATCTAGTGACCAACTTAAACATACCCTGTTCAAGGTGTTATAACTTATTAGATGATCGACTTGTTAAATTTGGAATTTCGAAATTTCCAAAATAAATTATGTATATCCTCAAATGTATGTGGATTATTTATAGTCATGTCTTTCAAATACAGATACTATTAYGTATTAAAATGTATGCAAAGATGCCAACCTGGATTCAAACTATATTTAACTCTTTCGTTATTGGCAGTTAAATTTTCGTTATCTAAATAAGTTTAATTGGTTGGCATTGTTGAAACTAATTTTGGCGTAAAAATTTATTTATTTTATTTTGTATAAAAAYACCATGCTTAAGTTTTTAACTTCGGAGTGATGTGGCAACCCTATTGGTAAACGTACCAGCAATAAATTTAAGTCACCAAGGGTTCGTGCAGTTTCACAAACTRAAGTAAATTACTATTTCATGWYGAAAACAAGAGCATTATCGAGAACTAACTGCAGTAATGCTCAACTTATTTGAACTTTTCCAATAACACCAGCGAGGAGAGATATAGCAATTTATAGTTGTTCGTTTTATCAAAATAGTCTTAAATTAAAGCAATTGTGCTGCACTCGCTGCATAAAGCTMAAGCTGGATGCGCCGCTGTACTAGAATCGGCTAGGCAGCGGTGCACCGAGGCGTATAAGCAACTAACGCTTATTGGCCACAGTAATCGAGCGCACAAACCGCAATGGTCGCATAAAAAACTTACGCAGTAGATGTTATAAACTGGTTATTGATGAGAAATAAACGAAGTGCGATGCGAGCATGAGGCAGCGATAAAGCAGAAATGTTCACGCTAAGTTATGGCTAAATTAAAAGGAAATGAGAATGTGCATGTATATGTATGAGATCAAATGTAGGAGATTGTGGTGGATTTACACATTCATGAATATAAATTTTAATATCGTATGAAACCGTTATGGCAGTCTGTGCTTGCTCTTGGTAACTACTTTGAAATGGTGATGATGAGCACCTTAAGGAATGAGTTTCACTTATGAAAGGAATGAGGARGAAGTGATCCTAGATGTGGGCGTTTGTGAATATTTTTGTGGTAGAGAGTCCGCAATATGTTTTTTTTGCATYCTTTAAGTTAATAAACTTAGTATTTAAGCGGCAAACAAAATTAATTTAATCAAATTTGAAAAACCACTTTTGAAACTTTTTATTTATATAAAGAGTGAAAAAGAAATGAAGGGAGAGAGTGAGATAGAAAGAGTGGCAAAGAGTGAGCGAGTTGAAGATAATGACTTATTGCCAAATTCGAATAATAAAATAGGAAAATGTTGCCTACATTTCGGGGTAATTGTATAAAATGAGTGGATATATGAACTCTCTAAAATAGCTCTATAATTTCTTGGCGGTACTTGAAATCCATACAGTCAAATTTTAAAATTCAAAATTAAGTCACTCTAAAAGCTACAACGCAATTAAATTGAATGCTGGGTGAAACTATAAGGCATAGAATCCATTTACATATTAAAGACACTAAGCAGCTATTAAATTAAGTCCATGGCAATAGTACAAATCTGAGGTTGAAATAGCACGGCAGTCATACCCTCGATGAATCAGGATGTGTAGCCAAAACTGACATTAACCGCCGTAATAAATTGTTGATAAGTTCTTTGTTGAATTATGAGGGTCTTATGATCAATTTTGTATATAGGAGTTTTAGTTACCAAAACGGACTGGCATACTAAGCTGTCTTCTTAACCTAACCTAAGGTTACAATCCCCGTAAACATTTTGCGGAAGAGAACTTTCATCTTTACGGTTACTTCATTCGACTTGAAGATTGTTTTTTTTTTTTTCAAACAAGGTATGCATGAAGGAACAAGCAACGCTTTTGCTGTTGGGTGAAAACTGATGAGCGATTACACTTTCAAATTCGTTCGTATAGTTCATATAAGAAATGCACCTGTAGGTAGCTTGCACAAGAGACAACATTGAACATTCGGTGAACCAAGAAATAATCTCACTAGGATAACTGAAAGAAGATTTATTTTCTAGCACACGTTGAATCACAACTTCCTTAATACCAGCGTGTAGCTTCGTACGCCTTTCTAGATGTTATATTTGCTATCAGAAAAGTTCTCCTGGCCATTAAACCTAATTTAATGGAACTTTTAATGGTATATAGAACAAATTAAATTAAGYTCTAAAACCACTCTCCACAGCAAACAGAAACAAAAATTTTGTGTTGACTTTTCTAGGTTTAAGAAAATTATATACTTTAATAGAATTTAGCACCCTTTACATGTTTACCTGCTATTCCATACGAACCAACGAATTTCCCACACATWAATTTATACAATCTTGGTCGGCACGCAATGCCTTTTAGTACTTATTGCTCGGCCACGTCCGTCCATGGTCATACTACATATGGGTAATTTATGCATGCCAATGGCCATTTGGAATGCAAATGAATATTACATTGGTGTAAATGAGAGCTAYTTCTATGAATATAAGCGCATTACGTAAAGGTAATTTGAAGGGACAGTAAAGTTGGAATACAGGAAAAGGGACACCAGCTACTTATAAAGAAAACACGTAAAGACGGGCTAAGTGCGTGTGTAAGTGAACAGTRTATATTCTCGCAACTTGCAAGSATCAAAGCTGGAAAATGTATTTCCGAATTTCATTGGTTAAACGATAWCTTCGGTAAAACGTTCGCAATAGGAACTGCCGTCCCATATTTGACAGGGAGCTTGACTAGTTTTACTCAAACTATTTTTCGATATAAGGTGATCGGTTTCCCACTGGAATATAGCAATGTCAAGATAATAGGATACGCTAAATTTGGTTGAGATCGGTCAAGTAGGTTCAAAAAAATGTGGGCAGTGTCACACTAATGTCTCTGGCGCATTTGGTTCTTCATTTTTCGCCGTTTCAGTAGTTTTTAATGGAAGCGTTATACCGGCAGTGGGTGGTGAGTGATTTGTGGGTGATATAGGTTGAATGATTGAAAGATATGTATCTTCTTCTTTACTGGAGTAGAGAGCGCTTACGCGGTTATAGCCGAGTTATTTTCGCTAGATGCCGCCAATTGGAGATTCCAACCGGAGCCAGRCCCTTTTCCTCTTGTTCTTTCCAATGGAGTGGATGTCTTCCTCTTCATCTGCTTCCTTCGGCGGGCACCGCGTCAAATACTTTCAAAGCTGCAGTGYTTTTGTCCATTCGGACGGCATAATCTACACAGCGTAGCCGCTGTCTTTTAATTCGCTGAACTACGTCAATATCGTCCTATATCTCGTTCAGCTAAACGTTCCATCGACTACGGTACTATGGTTGCTACTGACGTCAAATAGTGACTAATGAGCCAGCAGGATGGGGATGAAGACTGACCTGTATAATTCGGTCTTTGTTCGTCGAGAAAGAACTTTACTTCTCAATTACTTGT